ATCCAGCTCCTGGCCCTGCACAGGACACCTGGGAGTCACACCATGTACCTGAGAGCATTATCAAAAATCTTCTTGAGCTCTGCCAGGCTGGTGCTGTGACCACTGCCCTGGGGAGCCTGTTCCAGTGCTCAAGCCCCCTCAGGGTAAAAAACTTTTTCCTGATATCCAACCTTAACCTCCCCTGACTCAGATCCATGCCATTTCCTCGAGTCCTGCCACCAGAGAGATCAGTGCCTGCCCCTCATCCCTCACGAGGATGCTGGAGACACAATGAGGTAAGGGCAGTTTTTCTGATGAGGCAAAGCCCTTACACCAGCAAAGCCCTTACACCAGCAAAGCAAGTGCCATCATTGCTCTCCTCCAAGTGACCAATGGTCCCTGAGAGCCTCCTTTAAGGCACAGCAGTGTGATGTCTTTTGGATATATTTGATTACAAGTTCAGTGGCAATATCTGTGTTGATCTGCAGGCATGCTTGTGGATGGGAGATTTAGAGTCTCACTTCACAATGACAGTGCCACTGAAGTTGACAGAGGTGTAAGAATATCTCAGAGACAGCTTGATGGCATTGTTGATGACTGAATTTGCGATGGGAACTGAAAATAAAACACAGGCTTCCAATCCAGCTGGTGAGCATGTGATTTCTGAATGTTGGTTAAAACATAGGCTTGGTGACGTAGTTATTTAAAAAGAAAAATCTTCTGTGAAGTTGATTTATAAAGAAGTTAGAATTTTTTTGGGGTAAACTGGGTTCCTATGGCCTAAATTTATTGAAAAAAAAATTTGATGGAGTCAGAGATGCAGTGGGTGAGTTTGGTGGTGTGTTTGAGTTAGGAATCTGTGGGTATATTTTATTTTGTAGATCCTTAAGAGAAGCTGCAACACTCTTACTGGGGATGTAGTTGCACAGTCAGTTCTTGGTGGTGCTAATTTGGGGTACTTCATTTTACACAGACCACGGGAAAAATCAAAAAATCCTCAGCTTTCTGTGTGAGAAAGGGCTGAGGATGATTTCTCTCCCTTGTGATAATTCATCAGGAAACCTGGAAGCAGTTGATCTGCCAAAGTTGGGAGCGGGGTAGGGATTTTTTCTTTGGCTCAGGAGAGCAAAAGCACTGAATTTAGGATTGTTGTCTCAGTGCAACCTTTGTGCACCGCAGGGCTTCCCAAACTCTGCAGCCAGGCAGGCTTTGCCAGCAGCCAGGCTCCAGAGCTACGTGGGCATGCATGCAAAGAGCTCCTGCCCTGCCACTGCCTGACCCCCACCTCTCCCCTCTTTTCCATTCAAACCCTCCCACCCAGGAAGAAGTTGCTGCACGGCTGAGGAGCTGCACAGGCAGGGATGTACTGGGATTTTCGGTCATGTTATTCTGACTTGGGGAGCTGTTTGTCCTCCTTCAGTATTCCAGGCAGCCAGCCTGAAAAGAAGTCCGGATCCTGTGCTGCAGGCCAGTCGTGTTCACAAAGATCTCTTTGTTACGCCCGTGTCTGTGGCATTGTTCCTCTCCAACAGAACTCCCCTGCCAAAGCCCTGATGCTCTTGGCTCTGAAAGTGCCAGGCTGGTGATGGAAGGGGTGAATTCCTGCTCATTCACCCCATCCTGCCTGCTGCATCCTTCTGCCCTGCAGCTTTCTACTTTCTCAGGGTATGATGGGTGGGAGAATACAGGCAAGACATGGTGGTTTCTCCTCCTTGCAGCCCATGTGTTACACAGGCCCCACATTGTGCAAAAGTCCTGCTCTCCGGTCAGGTTTGCACAGAACCACAGAATCATTAAGACTGGAGAAAGACCTCTAGGATCATGAGTCCAGCTGTCAACCTAGAACCACCACCATGGTCACCACTAAACCATGTCCTCAAGTGCCACATCCCCACATGTTTGGAACCCTTCCAGGGATTCCATCACGTTCCTTGGGCAGCCTGTTCCAATGCCTGATGACACCTTCTGTGGAGAAATTTTTCATAACAGCTAACAAAAACCTCCCCCAGTTCAACTTGATGCCTCCTTTCAGGTTGTTGTAGAGCACATTGAGGTCTCCCCTCAGCCTCTAGGTTTGTCCCCTGTCAGACCCAGCACTTGGTTTCTGAGCAGATGGTTGTGTGTCAGAACTCAAAATGTCCTTTAGACATTTTTGGATGTTCCGGGTCCAGGTCAGAAGCATCTGAGACCCTGGCAGGCAGCTGGAAACAGCTGTGATTTTGGATTTGAGCCATGGAATGATTTACCAACCTTGCAGGAAGAACAAGAAGTCACAAAAGTTTAGATATTACAGTAGAAGTAGTCACAAAATAGAGGGAAGAAGTTTTGAGTGCTGTGCAGGGAGGTTTTAAGTCCTGTACAGGGGGGTTTAAGTTTTGTACATGAGGATCAGAGGTTTTAAGATGGAGGGATTTGGGCCTGTCCTGTCCTCCCTCTTTCTTCTTCCTTACTTCCATGTTCTTGGTGATGTTGGCACTCACAGATTGGTTTAGAGTAGAAAAGCACCATTTAATATAGGAAATAGGCACTGGGGAAAGACTGGAAACATGTAACATGTAATGTACCATATAAAAGATAGAAAAGCACCATTTAATATAGGTAATAGGCATTGGGAAAAACTGTAACCATGTAACACGTAATGTACCATATAAAAGAGAGCAGCAGCCCTGGGCAGGGAGAAGAAGCAGTCGGGAGTCAGAGAGGATGTCAGGGTGTGTGTGTGCCTCTGCCTGAGCTGTGAGCAAACCACAGCAGCCCGAGAAGAAAATCTTTTAGATAACTTGCAATAAACTGCCTTGAGACCGAACAACAGAGACTGCTGAGCCTTTCTTTGGAAGCACGGGTTGGAGGAGAGATTTTTATTGCCTGTTTTTAATGCCTGTATGGAGGTATAAACCACAGTGCCAGATATCTGGGAGCACTTGACAGATTTTTAGTCTTATTCACCCATTTCTGTCCCCTGGGGCAGGACACAGTCAGGACAATGGACTCTGTAGTCCCAACACAGCTTTACCCTGAGTTCCTGTTGCTTAAAGCTTTACCTGGATTGCCAAACAATATTGTTTTTTCTAGTCAGCTTGCCCTGTACTCCTCCACATATTCACTACTACACTTTTCACTACTGTAGAGGAAAATCTGGAGCTTTCTCCAATCAGTATTTCCATGCAAACTGACTTGTATTTCATAACAGGAGGCTTAATAGGGAGGGAACCCAGGTAGAGAACAGTAAAGACCCTCACCCTTTTCTCCTCTCTGTCTCTGCACTGAAAAGTCCCTCTAAGGAATCCATCTGCCCCTGGCAAACACCACCTGTGAGCCAGATGTAAACAGCTGCATGGTAAGTGTCATTTGTGATCCAAACTTAATACAAACCATGCTAAGGATTGGTTACAAATGACTCCATTAAAAAAAAAAAAAGACAAAATGCATAGCACAGGTAAGTAGTACCTCTTTTCTTATTTTACCTTTCCTTTTATCTTATTTGCTTTCCTATCTATGCTATGGAGGACACCCTTGTGTGGTGAGATGAATAGCAGCTGAATTTCATTAGTGTGGCCTGGGTGTATTCAATTGCTTATATAAACACTTAAGCAATATGCACAGTCTAAACATTTGTTTAAGTTCTTACCTGAGCAGGGATACTTCACTGCTATTACTTACCCCAGTGACTAACCTGACAGGTTGGCTGGTTCTCTCTTTGATATTTCACTTGGTGCATGTAAAATTTCCTAATCCAAGAGTTTCTAACAGCAAATCCCTTTAAATGGCAAGGGCATTGCCTTTTTGCCTAACAGCGAAGCACCTTCTAAAAACCCCTCCAGGTTAGGGTAATGTACCTGTTGTTTTTGAGATATCAGTACTGCAGTTGCCCTTGTTCAGCCCTCCACTCTGAATTTTCACTACTTGCTTCCCATTTCATTTTCTATTTTTGAATACATTGGATTGATATAACAACCCTTTAATTTATTTTTACTTTAAACCTGCAACTTCTTGCCTTATCCAAAGAATGCTGGTAGCAACTGTAGGGAATGCACTGGCTGTTTTCCAATAGTCCGTGTTCCTTTGCTGGCAACTTTAACAAATATATTGATTTTCAATCTGGATCATGATATTTTATCATCTCACATTTTACAATCTCACATTCCAGACAGCAACAGTTTGATTCTCCTGTCATTATGAACTATTCATATTTTTACTAGGCTGCTGAATAGTTCATGCTGTGTCAGATCATGCTGGTTTCTCTGTAGTGGTTGCATTATAAACCCCCAAGGAAACATATTCTGTATAACAGGTCTGGCTCAGACTGAGTGTTAAATCAAGGTTATAAAAGAGTTTGCACTTTCCTTTCCTTTCCTTCTTTCCTTTCCTTTCCTTTCCTTTCCTTTCCTTTCCTTTCCTTTCCTTTCCTTTCCTTTCCTTTCCTTTCCTTTCCTTTCCTTTCCTTTCCTTTC